TCCAGAATCACCAACTACTCAAGTTCTTTGAAAGGTGATTAAAACAGCTCCAGGTCTCTCATAGTTAAGTGCATCCCAAATCAGTTTCAGCAGATTTTCAGGCTGCTTAAATCTCACTGCTAGGTGTCTGGAAGAAGCTGGGCCATAACCTGGTAGCAAAGCTCTCACAGACAGGAGGAACCAGCTGTCAGGAGACTTCTGGGGATCTTGGCTCAGCTCCTTGGTGTCAGATGGCACGTGGGAATAAATAAGGTGCCACAGGTTTGGAAGGAGAAAAATAGTTGACATCACTCTCAGATGTACTGCTGTACGTTTGCAGCATTCACTTTTAAAAACCTTGCAGTTCCTCCATCCTTTCCAGCAATTATGGACTCATAGAATGGCTTGGGTTGGAAGGGACCTGTAAGGTCATCTGGTTCCAATCCCCCTGCTATAGGCAGGGACATCTCCCTCTAGACCAGGCTGCTCAGTAGACTGGTTCAGATCACCTGAAAAACACCATCTGCAGGGCTGATCCAGGGAGATTGACAGCGCTGAGCAAGGAAAGTTCCTGTTCTGATTTCAGTGACCATGTCCCCCAGGAAATCTTTTAAAGCACGTTGGGGTTGGAGTTCTACTGTGGAAAGCAGTGCAGACTCTGCAGTTCCAAAATTACACAGTGACCTTAATTAGAAGGTGTAATTTTAACTTTGGTGCTTCTGAAAACCTAAGAAACCCAAATCTCTAAGTACTTAGCAACCGGTAGAATGCTGAAAACTTGAGAGAAGTGAGATTTATGGTGGTGGATACACCCAAACACCAAATGTCTAATTGTCACAGGGAACCGTTTATTAGAAACATTTATCTGTATCCCCTGTCAAACCACATAGACATAAATTCTATAAAAAGAGTTGGATGCTCTCCCACTTAAGTGCTCTTCCACTCTTCTGCACTTCTCTTTCTATATTTTATCTTTCCAGAATGGATGAAAATTGTTGAAGAAATAATATAAATCAAAGCAAGAAATGTCCTGAAAGGTGACCTATGGTTTCAGGGAACAGCTCTACCTGCAGACCAGCAGTGCTTCCTGGTTTGATCACGGATAACTGTTATTTTGAATGTGCTTTTTCAGCCATTCAAGCACCTGAGTGACAGAATCATAGAATTATTAAGGTTGGAGAAGATCTCTAAAATCATTGAGTCTAACCATGCACTTACCATCAATGGTGCCCACTAACTGATTTCATTTAATCCATTTCATTTAATTCATTTAATCCATTTAATGATATCATATGAGATCATAGTATTATTTCATGTAGGATGAAGTATCTAATTTATCTCCTATTAGTCGTGGGGAAAAAAAAGAATGGATTGACATAAAAGCAGCTACAGCACCTACCAAGAATAAATTATCACCTTATTGCCCCCAAGTTCTTATAATTCAATTTCTCCCAGCATCTTTCCAAGAATTAGTTAAATTAGTCTATAATTCCCTGGAAGATTCCTTTTTATACCTTATTCTTGTGATATATTTTCCCTATATCAAGATTAGCATTATTATTTGCTCTTGCCCAGTACTGGGGTGAGGTTTAAAACCCACATCTTAAATGCCAGCACTCTGCAATTAACCACCCGGATTATAATGCGATTATCATCTGGGTGTTGATTTCTGCCTGGCTGTGGCTGTCAGCCAAATGTCATCATGCACACAATTAGCAGATTTACTCCCTGGCTTACTGATAACAATGGAAGCACAAATAATTCATAGGCAGAGGCATCACTGCTTTGATGTGATTGAACTCTGATCCGCTCAGCACCTGAAGGGATGCGGGCTGAAGAAGGGTAGCCTCATTAAAGTGGAGAATAATGAAAACAAGGCGAGGAGGAAGAGGAGGAGGCAGGGATGACCCATGCTGGGCGCTGTGACCTCTTTGGGGCTGGGTCCCGAAGCTCCCAGCCTCCTGCCATGGCACAGGAACATGCAAATTCCCGGGGACGTGGGGAGAGGCAAGGAAAACCCATGTCCCAGACTGAAATAATGTCTCTAATTACAAGGCTGCCTTTTTTTTTTCCTGGGGTTAAGGGAAATTCCTGATGAGACGTTTCCATCTGGTTCGCAGTCCCTTTGCGCTGGGGCAGTTCAAAGAGGCTGTAGTGTAACTGAGAATTGAGGACAGCATTTATTTATAGTTGGATCATAAAAGCTGGAGAGCTGGGCTCGCAGCAGTGCACTTATTTATGTTTTAAACAGCACCCCACTGCTGGTAAAACATGTGCTGTAGCTCTGGTGTAACATTAAGTGTGGCTCTTTGTAAGGTTCATGACACAAAAGTTAAAAAAAAAAAAAGCAAAATTAAACTAACAAAGCAGCTAACATGTAAATAAAAGTAGCAGCCAGAAGTGGAGGAAAATTAACAGTGCTGCTCTGAGGTGAAGTAACATCAATGGAAGATTTGTACCTGAATCCATTTTTCACACTGCAAGAAAGAAATACCCTGAAATTCTGACTTTAGTTCTTGATAGCGTTACAAAGGATTTGAGCCTTAGTGTGGGGCTTAGTAATGACATCCCAGCCTCTGGCACCATCTCAGTACAGTGTCTCACTGCAAATTGTGTTTGTATCACATTTATCCTTTTTTTAATATTAGTGTACCTTCTTTTTCCTCTGTAACCCAGAGGGGAAAGCAAAGCAGCTTCATTTCATTATTACCCTTTAATAGTCTTCCCAGTGATACATGGGAGAATATTAATATCCTTCCAATGACCTCACCTAAACACTGCTAAAAGCCAGGAAAGGAGCGACAAGTTTGTAGCTAATGTAGGGGATGAAATTCTGGTTAATGAAAGGATTTATAGAATCACAGAATCATTTGAGATGGAAGAGACCTGTAAAGGCTATCTGGTCCAACTTGAGTGATGGATGTAGGCTATCTCCATCACTGTAAGAAGAAAGGAACGGGTTCTTTAGGAGGGTCTGTTGTGGTAGGATGAGGGGAAATGGTTTCAAATGAGAAGAGGGAAGATTTAGGCTGGAAATAAGGAAGAAGGTTTTTACTATAAGGATAGTGAGGCACAGGCTGCCCAGAGAGGTGGTGGGTGCCCTGTCACTGGAGACACCCAAGGTCAGGCTGGATGGGCTCTGAGCACCTAGTGGAGCTGTGGGGTCTCTGTTCATTGCAGGTAGGCTGGACCTGATGACTTTTAAGAGTCTTTTCCAACTGAAATGATTCTGTGATTTTTATGAATGATCACATAATTAGTACCCAGAATTGTATGTGAACAGTCAACTGTGCTATACTGCTCACACCTTAGAAAGAGATGGCTGTGAGCATTCACTGTCGAATATCCAAATCGCTTCTAAATGAGCACATGGAATTTGCAAATCTGCTGAACTGTGTAATCAAAGACAGCGTTACTCTTAAGAATGCTAAATTAATGGTGAAAGAAAACTTCAAGGTGGCCAGCAAAGGAAATGAAGTCATAACTCAGTTCTACACATGCTTCCTGATATGTATAAAAGTCTGAAAAAGATGGTGCTGATTAATCATCTCACTTGTTCTTCACACTGGAAATGCACATTTTGTCCAGTACAGGGAAGGTATGGGATGTGTGAAGTTACAGGATCAAAAAGAAAAGCAGAGAAGTCGATCATTTTGGAGAAAGAAGCTTGGTTATTTCAGACTGTTGAACTTGATTGAGGCCTTATTTGTAGGGAACACTTTCATCAAGCTGGAGAATGAGCAGCCCAGTGAATGGCAGTACAGCTCAGCTGCTTGAGATACGTGTACTCATAACATGATCTTTCAGTCATGGAGTAATCCCTTTATCAAAATGCAGTGAAAACCAAACATTATAAAGTAATAAAATAGCTAGAGGGGAAAACAACAATTGGCCATCTAATTACCACAAAGGATTAAGAAAAGAACGTCTGTTTCAAAAAAGGCTTTTGTTGAATGTAAAGAATGCTCCATAGGTAGATGAAGAGCTAAGACCTAAGGTTTCTTGAATTTCATTTTAGTGTAGCAGGAAAAAAAAAAATCTACATTCAACATTATTTTTTGTGCAAAATTTATTATCTTTTATTGATTTTAGATATTACTGTAAGAGCTCAGAGCCTGGCCCATGTTCATATTGTGAAATTAGTGTTTTGTCTTCCAAATCCATTTTTAAAAATCTGATAACCCAGACTCATGTCTCAGATGTGTTGCTTCCAGTTCCAAATTTAGAATATGGAAAGAATTGATAAAAATTAAGGAAATGTGAGGCTTTTAATTTAGCACTCAAAGTGGGGAATCTATTTAATTTGCTAAAATAGAATGACGACCACTTCCAAAAACAACTGGACAGCTGAAAGAGTAGGACTGAAATTTACAGTATAGCTGCAGTTATCCTCTTCCTCTTTGGAAATAACTGTAATATTTAAATTCTTTTGGTCTAATTCTGTAGAAAAATCAGATGTCAAAGAATTTCATATAATAATTTTCTATGTTGATTCAGACTTCTTTAATGAAACAGACTATTTTATGCTTTCCGGATTAGAGAAAGCAAGCTCAATCTGTCGTACCAGATCCTGATGCTGCAAATTTTAAGCTAGTGAGGAATGTTACTCATTTGAGTAGTCTCATTAAGCAGTTCATACCATGCTACAAATGTGTTTCAAACATGGTTATACTATAGCTTTAGGACTTGTCTGGGCATCAGTGATTCATGACATGATTCCTTAATGCATTTCTGCCACAGAACTGTCTCATTACCACATTAGAGGCAAAAACTGCGAGGGACTGATATCCCTTAAGTGATGGGTAGGCTTTATTCTCCTATTGACAGCTTTTCCACTGCACCTCACATTCTGGGTAATCTGAAAACTCATGAGGTTCACTGAAGGGCCCTGAATCCTTCTACAGATTGCCAGGGAACTGGGTTGCACCAGTGGCTTTATTTCCCACTGCTTTGCAGGGGTGTAGATCACTGTAAAAAGTAACGAGAGAAGCAAGTCTGATGTTCTTTTTCTTCTTTTTTAGTCTTGTGAAAGTCCTGAAGTCTGTCTCTCTGGACTAAACTCCTAGTCTGAATGGATCTGTGAACACTGAAAAGGCACTGCTCCATCCCACTGCCCAACCTAAGGGAGAAGTTGAGAATACAGGGTATTTCAGCACTGAAACACTGACTAATTTCCTTTGGGTGCATGTGAAAGACAAAACTTGAATATCCCAGTAAGTTACACCCCGACCTTGAGTTTATTAAAGTCAGTGGAAATCTTTCACTTGATTTTAATAAAAGAGGAAAAGAGGAAGAAGGAAAAGGTGGCTGGAAAAGATCATTTTGAAGGGAAATTTTCTTTGATTAATCACAAAACTCTTGGGGAGGTATTGAATATTAAATGGAATATTAATGATCATTTGGAGTGCTTATTATTATTATTTTTTAAAGTCTGGAGATCTTCATCATGAGTTCTTAGCATAATTTTACATACTATTCATATATTACTAGTTTATGGCACCCTCTACAGAATGATTTATCTTTAGAAATGAACAGCAGTATTAATTTGCCTAGTGATTTCTTCTTATTGAACCACATTACCCTTCTATCTCTAGAAACATTCTGGATGAAGACCTTGAATTCCAAGGAGATCTAAAAAGAGAAAGTTTGGCGATTAATCATGGATCATAGGACTGAGGAGAAAAGAAAGCAACGCCATAGCTTGACCTTACTGGAACAACTAAAAAGAATGAAAGAATCATCAGAGATAGTTGATGTTGTGCTAGTTGCCGAAGGTCAGAAATTTCCCTGCCATAAGGTGGTACTAGCTGCCTTCAGTTCCTACTTCAAAGCCATGTTTACCTGTGGCTTGGTTGAATGCACTCAAAGAGAAGTGGTACTGTATGACATGTCAGCAGAGAGCGTGTCTGTAATCCTCAATTACATGTACAGCGCGGATTTGCACCTCACTAACCAGAATGTGCAGACTGTTGCTCTGGCTTCGTATTTCATGCAGATGGAAGATGTTTTCAGCTTGTGTCAAAAGTACATGATGGACCACATGGATGCTTCCAATTGTGTGGGCATCTACTACTTTGCAAACCATATTGGAGCAGAAGATTTATGTGATCAAGCGAAGAGGTACTTATATCAGCACTTTGCTGAGGTGAGCTTACAGGAAGAAATATTGGAGATAGAAGTCCAGCAGCTGTTGACTCTTATAAAATCAGATGATCTGAATGTTTCCAGGGAGGAAAGCATTCTGGACCTTGTCATTAGATGGGTGAATCACAGCAGAAAGTCGCGTGCAGAACATCTTATCAAGCTCTTGAAGGAAGTGAGACTGGTACTGGTCAGCCCTTCCTTTCTCATGGAAGCCCGCAAAAGGAACACAGTGATTCTGTGCAATTCAGAATGCAATGATATGTTTGAGGAAGCGTTGAAAAGCATCAAACTAGCCACCCACCCTTCTCTCAGCTTGAGATATGGCATGGAGACTACTGATCTCTTACTCTGCATCGGCAACAATTCGCTTGGCATTAGGTCAAGACATGGGAGCTATGCAGATGCCAGTTTCTGCTACGCTCCTGCAACACAAAAGACTTACTTCATTTCCTCTCCAAAGTATGGAGAGGGTTTAGGAAGTGTTTGCAGTGGTGTTGTCACTGAGAATAATGATATTATTGTGGCAGGAGAGGCAAGCGCCGCCAAAATGTCTAGACAAAAAAACAGGAACATTGAAATTTATAGGTGTGTACCCTGTCAGAAATTCCCTGATTATTTACAAATTTTAAGTCCAAAAAATGTTTCTGAGATCAAGAGAAGACCATCACACAAAGCATTCTTTACCTGAGAGTTATCCCAGAGATTTCGTCTGCTCTAATCAGTTTGTCACAATTGATCTTCACAGTACAAGGAATCATGTATCTAAAACCAAACCCTTGTGCTTTTTCTCCTGAAGGAAGGAGGGTTTACACAGTGGAATCTTTGTGTAAATAAGCTTGATTAGAACCTGCTTTGTTGTATGTGGATTCTATATTCTCCCAGTACAAAGCTCCACGTATTACTAAGGTTCTCTTTTTGAGGTCTGTAGTGGGGGTAAATGTGTCAAGTGAATGACCTAAGGAATCCAGAAGGGGAGAGGTAACAGTCTTATCTGAGAAATCCATGTTGATGCTCAGAGATGAAAAGATAGACTGATAATTTAAATCTCCTTCTATTTTACTCAAGTCTTTTTCAGATGAGCCCCTTTTAAAGACAGCCATAGCTTTTCTGGATTAAAGAGAGAATTAAAAATAACTTTTCAAACACAGGTACCTGAATTTAAAGAAGTAAATCCCCACAGGTCAGATAAAGTAGCTCTATTTTCAGCTGTGCTGAACTTCTGCTCTTCCCACTAACTTCAGTGGGGAACAATTACTGAACAGCACATGCAGAAAAAAAGAGTCAAATATCTTTGAAAGAATGCTTAAAATTGGGATACCTAATTCTAAAAATGCTTGATCTTGCAAACAATGAGGCCAATTGTATCAACTGTCTATGAAGGAGAAAGCTCCTCTTGTCATCGCATCACTGAATAATCATTGAAGACGAAGGGGATAACATTTATAAACAATCATATGAGACCACACTGAACCACGGCATTTACAGCTTTGAATTTCCCTACAGATACCACCAGCGAGGAAATCAGTTTTGGCACAGCCTGTGCACCGCTCAGTTCCGTGAACTCTATGCACTGGGCACTGTCCATAATGATCTCTATGTGATCGGAGGGCAAATGAAAATCAAAAATCAATATGTGGTCACAAACTGCATGGAGAAGTACTCCATGGAGCAAGGTACCTGGAGAACCACAGCACCTCTGCCAGTGCCGTTAGCCTGCCATGCAGTGGTGACAATGAAGAACAAGCTCTACGTGCTGGGTGGCTGGACACCACAGGTTGAGAAAAGTGCCAATCATGTTTCAGGAAAATGTTTGCTTTTTACGTTGTGCAATTTTATGGTGCTGCTTGCATGGGAAAATAAGTTGCTCACATTGTTTGACATCTTTTCTAGGAAAACCAAACAGGGTAAAAAGGAATAATATTCGTATTAAGTCATCCTCACTGAAAATGCCTACTTCAAGAAGGGCAGTTCATTCATGAAGACATGCTCAGTGAGCAAGATTTCGAAAAGATTGTTTAAAAACAACAACAACAAGCAAACAAATAACACTTCCCCTCTCCATCCCCCTCTGAACAACAACAACAACAACAAACCAAAAACAAAACTAACACTTCCTTAGATCCTGTCTAAATCTCCACTCTTTTAATTTGAAGCCATTTCCTCTTGTCGTATCAAATGCCTATTTGGCATTTTTTTGTCATTACAGACTGAAAAATTGATTAACTGCAGTCTTTCCTCTTCCTATACACTGTCCTTTTAATTTTGCTGTGTATCAGTAAGTAATGTTCTTTAAACAATACAGAGCTCCTTAATTTATTTGGCTTTTATTGTATTTTAAATGAAAAGTTGAGCCATTCTCAGGAAAAGAGATTCCTGTAATCCACTCATATTTTGTTTCAATTGCATTGCTTGGCCGTATGATGCTTTAACAGTTTTCAGTAAGGCCACAGATGCCATTTTCAGTAGAACAGGTAATACACAGAATTATGCTACGAGGCAGAATCATAGAATCACAAGGTTGGAAACGACCTATAAGATCATCTAGTATAACCCTCATTACCATTGCTACCACTAGCACTAAACCACATCTCGCAGCTCCAAGGCTCTCTCCAGTCGTTCCCAGTGTGAAAGATGCTTTTTAAGAGTTTAATTAATTCTTATTTACTGCTCAGTGCAGCTTAGATTTGGGCATTTAAGAAAAAATAAAAACCATGTATTTGACAGTGGTGTAGAGCACCTGTAATTGTTACTGCCAACTATAATATTTTCAGACTGTCGTCACATCTCACTGGTTTGTGATCACTTGAAATACATTACTGTTTCAAGTGCTTAGATGAGATGTATTCAGCAAACAGGATTTCCAGCTCTTTGGATATTTACAGTGCTGAAGTCCCCAAAGGAGACAACGGAAAGATCAGAGAGCCTTTCTCATACTAAAACAACAGAGCAAGGACACCTTGCTGTTTAAAGAAGTAAATTATGAGAGCAGGTTTAATGTAGAAACAATCTGTCCACTAAAAAAGAAAGAAAGAATATTTGAACTGGAAGATATAACAGATACAAATGTGGAAGTGAGATCCAGCTTTGTTTGTCTTAACAGATCTCCAGAACAGATTGAAAGGGGAGAAAATGGTGTAGGTGCACAAACTACAAACACTAACCCAATGTTAGCTTTAAAAAATCACCTGGGGAATGCTTAAAATTCATACCTGACAATCAGCACGTGTACACTAACAGCATGTGAGCGTGAGTTCATACAAAGCAGTCTGGAGCTGAGTGGACTAATGCTGATTGTCTCAATACTACAGCTTTGTAACAGCAAATTGTCATGTGTATCACTGCAGAAGTGACGTAGGATGTGAATTTAGAGCATGTCATATGGTGTCTGCTCTTAAGTATATGCTCACTCTGTATTGAAAATACAGTTGACTTCTTTCTCAGTGAATAAATCAGTATTTCACACCTATCATGGAGAAAAATGTGTCCCTGGGCACTCTAATGGAGTAATAAAGAGGTTATATATTGCCTGTTAGTTTGACTTCTACTATCTTGTACGTTATATCATAGAATCACAGTATCATTAAGGTTGGAAAGGCATCTAAAATCATCTAGTCCAATTGTCTACTTACCACCAATATTGCCCACTAACTGCTTCCCACTAAACCATTTCCATCAGTGCTAGAAATGTATTTTTGGAGTATAAAAGAACAAGCAAAGCAAGGGCGCTTAAAGCAGCTTTACAAGTAAGCAAAGTAGTCCTTTCCTCTCTACATGGAAACTTTAATCCTGGAAAGTTTCAGAATTCTCACCACAAAGCCTACTGCATGCAGCCAAAGCATACTGGGTATGGCCTGAATAACAGTGAAAGTGGAAATGCAGCCATTAGCAGGAGAAAAGATACAGCAACCTTTTCCCTCTATTATTAGTAGTACTTCATAGGAGCCTTGTAAAAGAAGGGCCGGAGTTGGGCCCATGAATGTACTGTTATTACTCAGCTCCTTAGCTTTATTGCTACAGAATAGAAATTCTCAGCTATTCATTTGCCTTCCACAGTGTACTGCCAGCCACAAGTCAGGGCTGCTGTTAAACCGTCCTGCACGCGCATCGCTTCGCAGCTGTAATTGATGTGTTTATGTTATTTATCTGCTCCTCTGCCTGCTGTGATTAATTGCACGCAGGCATGTGCGGAGGGCTCCAAATGTTGTATTATTATATGGCTGTCATATTTCATACAGATGGATCTGCCTGACGATGAGCCGGATCGATTAAGTAACAGAATGTTTCAGTACGACCCGGGCCGAGACAAATGGGCAGAGTGTGCACCAATGAAGTACTCCAAATACCGCTTCAGCACAGCCGTGGTCAACAGTGAGATTTATGTCTTGGGTAAGAGGAAAGAGATTTTTAACAGATAGCACCATGAATTTGTCTTTTTTCCAGCAATTTGCTTCTGTGAAGAAAAATATCTCACCCTTTGCTTTGTAGGACAAAGTATGTTGGATTAAATGGGTGATATTCTTTGGGATCTATTACTTCCCTACATAATTTCTTCCTTCCTTAGTGCTTGAGGATTAAAATAAGGGAATAATGCTTAGTGTTCTGAATTAACATAAGAAAGGTACTTTGTTTTTAAACTACTTTTCTTTGGAGTGCTGATGGGAACTATATATAATAATAAATTTTATGAGTTGGGAAGCCCTGACAGCATCATTTCACAGGTGAACAGTGGGAAGCTAACGTGCCCCATGCCAAGAAGAAATGGCACAAGGAAAAAAGAGAATTTGGAGGTCCCAAACAAAACCAAAATGGTTTGTAGATTCTGATAAAATTCAATGAATCATTCTCTTCCACCTCTCTTCCACCCAACTCAATGCAGTGCATTTTTGGAAAGCCTGAATCTCTCTGTTATTTTTTAAATCAAACTTTTCAGTTTTTTCATTTCAAAACAGAAGTTTGAGCAAAAGTTTTAAGTTTTTGTGGAAGAGTTCCGCAATCTCCTATCCCCAAATCTTTTGTCCCAGAATAATTCTTGGCATGTCCCCAGTTCTGCAGTTCATCCATAACATGATTCTTCCCTAAAGCAATTCTTTATGGCCCCTCTGCCCAAGTCAGTAGAAAGAACAGCACCTGCTTTTAAACACTACTAGACAGCTCTGAAAAGCAATTCAAGAAGGGATTTTATGGAGAGATAATGATAGTTAAAGGCAGGAAAGTGCAGCCAGAGAAGAAAAACACTTTGGGCACTGGCAATTATATGGGAAAAAAAGCGGAAGGGGCATTTTGGAAAGACAATAGGAAATTCAAAGTTAAATAAGCAAGTAGGAGAAGAATTATAGATAGATGCATTGCTGGAAAGTGCCTGAAGAACAGAGAGAGAAATTTGTGCAATTACTCCATAGGTGAGCTGTTGGTTGTTGATGTCCTTCCATGCTTATTTTCACAAAACGTGTGAGGGCTCTAATGTTAATAAATCTGTAAAATTTGGCTAAAACTGACCAATGCAGTCAAAAGCTGTGAGAGGAAGACAAACAAAGAACACCCCTACTGTGGGTAATTGCATATGCCTTGTTTCCTTAGGAAATCAAATAATTTTGCAGCTCATTTTTTAATTGAAAAATAAACCTGACACGGAGCCAAAAATGTTTTCTCATCAAATTCTCCCCTTGGATATGTAGATTTGAATCCACATTTTCTCTTTTGGTGGAAGTAACATTTTTCTCCTGAAGTTAAGATGGCAACATAGATGGTAAATGCTAGCTGTCATAGTCTGAAAATTGTAGACTAGTCTGAAAAATTTTCCAAGGCCTCAAAAATGATGAAGGATCTTCCCATAGAATTCTGTCTGGAAACAGCAGTGCAGTCACTGATACTGAAATCTTACTCTGCTGCTATTGCACACAGTCTCTGCCCCAGCTGTAAACTTGCATGGCAAAAACCTGGCACAGAAAAGGTTCAGTTCAAGGTTCATTCATGTTGACAAAGGCTTGCTAGCTTGTAAATTCTGAGACTGTTGTGTTGAGAAGTAGGTACGGCTTTCCTTTGGAAACTATTGCGATGGTATACCGAGCTGGGTATGTGTAGCACAAAAAGGAATACAGTGAAAGCACTCTAAATCTGGCTGATGTGGCACACTTCTCTGCCATTCAGGAGAGGATGGGGATGGAAGGACTGAGGTTGGCACTGACAGACCAAAGAATACCAATTGCCATGAGGATGAAAAGACCACTGCAGACTGTTCAGAGCTGTGGATCCCTCAGACATCACTGTGTCTTAACAGTGTTACGCATCATAAGAGTCTAAAGAGATGCTGTCAAGGGCAATTTGTTCAAAGAGATATGTTCTGAAGAGGGTCACAGCCTGAGGGTTGTCTTCCTGTAGTGAGTTCAGAGACATCTGTGTTCAGACATAGTAGTTAAGCTTTTATTCTACAGATCAGCAAGACTTTTGTAGAGTTTCTACCCTTGCCTTTTCTACAGCTTCTCATTCAAAATAGGGATTTCTCACGGTGAAGTGTGTGCATAGAACCTGAACATCTAACAGGCTCCCACATAACCCCGGTGTGTGGGACATTCATTGAAGGGACAGCTGAGGAGCATGCTCCGTAGCAACACTTGCATTCCCACAAGTGTCACCCACTTCTCGTGTAAGACTTGTAATGCACAGCTTTTAGCTTGGTACATAAAGTCATCCTGCAGGTAGACATGAGTTAGGATAAAGAGGTAATGGCCTCAGGTTGCACCAAGGGAGGTTCAGGTTGGATATTAGGAAAAATTTCTTCTCAGAAAAAGTGGTATTGGCACAGGCTGCACAAGGAGTGGTGGAGTCACCATCCCTGGAGGTGTTCAAGAACTGTGGAGATGCGGCACTGAGGGATGTGGTTGCAGGCATGGTGGGGGTGGGCTGGGGTTGGACTTGGTGATCTTGGTGGTCTTTTCCAACCTTAACGATTCTAAGGTTCTGTGACTTCTTTCAAGCATCTCTGGGCAGATATTTTTAAATGATGCATGTTTGTCAGTTCTTTCAGGTAGGATCTCTGTTTTCCCATAAAGTTTGTACAGGTCTCAGCACATTCAGGATTAAGCATAAATGAAAAATCACTTCACAAAGGATTAATCCTCTCTATAATAATATAATCTCTGATGTATGAATCCAAGTTCTATCATAAATGTGAAGCAAAACGCATAGATGGAATGCTAGTTTTGAACGAGGAAAAGTGACAGCCTTGATATGAGTGTACTTTTTGCTGTGATCCTTGTAGGTGTACGCCTGTAGTAAGCAGTCTTTTGATTTCAGTGGCGTTGTGTTAGGCTCATTTTGTTCTAACCAGATCAGCATCTGACGCTTATCCACTGAAGTATTAGGTTTTGAAAAGTCCTGTTGGCACAGAATGTAAAGTACACAGTCACTGTCCAAAAACCCTTCCCAGCCTAATTGCCAGCGCCAGCGTGTAAAACCCTAATGATTTAATGGAATTATTCTAGAGTCACACTTATGGGAGGGAAATGAGAAATTGATTAGAGTTTTTTTTGTCTGAATAATAGCGCTGTGCAGGAACTTCCACCATGTGTCTTAATCAGCACTCCTGCAGTATAATTGTTGTGTAATATTCCTAGAGAATCCTATGCTATTTATACAGCGTGCACAAACCTTAAAAGAAAATGAACGGCATTTCCTAAGGCTTAAAATCCTTTCTCCTTTTCATCCCATTTGACTGTCTTAGTTCTTTCTCTCCCTATTTTCCCAGGAACATAACTATATTCATTGGAAAGCCCAAGAAAGAGCAGTATTGTGTTCTTAATGACAGAGGCAATTGAGATACTTTTGGAAGAAAACCAGAGGGGAGGGCTCTATTTAAGGTCATGCATCTTAATCTCTTGCTTAAAAAAAAATATCCTTTGCAGCTAAGACTCTGAAAACTCATTGCAGCCAATGGATAAATTAGGAAGATTTATCCAAATGTGGATAAATTAGGAAGATTTATCCAAATGAGCCATTTCAATGCTATATTCATTAGCTTATAATGAAACTCGTTCTGCATAACTGCTGTCTCTGAAATACGGGTCACTGATAAAAATATTGAACCACCACGACAGCCTTAACCACGTGTTGCTTTCATGTTGTGTAATTCCTGCTTTAAAAATAAGAACATATAGGAGGACTTAAATGGGAAATCCTATTAGTGAAGATTTAGGAATCAAAGAATTTTTGTTTATCCTCTTTAGCCTGGCATCCCACCTCTTTAAAACTTGCTTGGTGTTTTTTTCCCAAGTTCTTGCCAAAAGCTTCTCTTAAAAGTTTTAAGCAATTAAATGAGGTTCAGTTAAGAACTGAAAGTCTCAGTCATAAAATACTTATTTGAATATGCGTTTTGGGGTCTCCTTGGAAAGGAAAGCTTGTGTAGGAGGGAATGGAAGGAAACATTTTAGCTTTCAGGTTTGAGTATTAGCCATGAATCTGAATAATACCTTCTTCTAAAATAAATGTGCCTATTTTTAGATATGCTTTGGACTTCTGACAAGTAGCAGATTACGGGCCTGATTCTGCTGTGCTGTACCTGTGCCACAGTTCTGTGGTGCCTGTGTGCAGGAAGGGATGAAAAAGGCAAAATTTGATTTGATATAAGAGATCAGAAATGCTCCCCACTCACTTAAAAATAATTAAAGGAAACAAGAACGAGGCACCATGGGACAAAAGAAGGAGCTGAAACTGAAATGTTCACCATGCTGAGAAAGACAATTGGCTGGTGGTTTTTTTTTCAGCTATGCTTCTAATCAATCTTCTGCCCTTGTGCCTTTTACAAACTGCATTACATCATCTGCTTTGCTCTGTGTTAGTAAAGAATGACAGCACTTCTCATCTCTGGAAGTGCCTGCCAGGAACGGCTTTATAGCTCCCTCATTTCTGCAGGAATCCAGTTATGCAGCCTTGCTTCTTGAGAGAGTGAGCAAGCAATGGAAGCGCTGAGACTCTCAGCTTGAGTGCTGTTAAAGAGTAATGAAGGGAAATGTTACATAAGAGATTTACGCTATTAAGCCCATCGTGCTTCCAGAGATCAATTTAATAGTGAATTATTTTACGGGAGGCAAAGGAGAGCACGAGTTTGGATTTCACTTGCATGTTGGAGAATTACTCTTTTTTTTTCCCAACCAAGTCACAGAAATGACAGTAAGAAAAAACATTGCTCTGTATTATGATCTGAGTATTTAATTATATGGCAAAGGATCCCAGTAACAGTGCCCTGATCTCAATCACCCAGACCAGCCTCACCTGGGGCCTCCACCCACAGCCTCTGCCGGTAGGTCCAAGGGCACTATTTAAGCACCGGGCTGGGAAGTCATTAAATTTTCATCCCCTTCTTTTTTGCCTGATGACTTCTGGGCTGTTGGTGGACCCTTTGCAGTTGCCTACTTGTGCAGCTATGCCCCAATGGTGAGCTCACTGTGTTGCCTGGGACAAGCTTCCCTTCGGGAATGAATGTTTTTCTGACGTGCTGCTGTAGCTGAGGGATGTGGGTCATGCTTAATTTAAGCTGTCTGTAAGTGGGGGAACCAAGTTAACTTTAATGCTCGGTTCCTAGCGCCCAAACCTTGAAGGCAGTGAGGCACTGGCAAAGGCTGCCTAGAGAAGTGGTGGGTGCCCTGACCCTGGGGACACCCAAGATCAGGCTGGATGGGCTCTTAGCACCGATGGAGCTGTAAGTGTCCTTGTTCATTGCAGGGGTATTGGAGTAGATGGCCTTCAAGGGTTCCTTCCAACTCAAACAATTCTATGCACATATATTCATATATGAAGTACTGATTTCCTTTGCATCTGCTGAACTTATTTTTGCTAGTGACTACCACCTCACAGCTCTTATAGGTGTTCTCCCTTATGCACTGAGAGGGTGTTCTGTTATTAGAAGTGTTGTGATGCAAATTATATTCAGCCTTCTCTAATGAGACTGGGGCAAGAAGGAGGCAGCTGGCATTAAGCAAAGCAAAATTATCTGCCTTCAGCCAGCTACAAACAGTGTGTGGATACAGCAAGGCATAGGATGGTACTTCATTGAAATGCTGAGGATGTGCTAATCGCATCACCTACCTCTGCTTTGCCTTCTTGCATCAAAGGCTTGTCTTTTCTGTCCTGATTTCTTTATAAAGTTCATATATATTTCCATATTATTTATTTTACTAACGGAGCTTCATGTTAAATTTAAAGTCTATTAGAACCACTTCTTACAGAGTGCCCTTGAAAGTATGTGTGGTTGCAGAATCATCCAAGCATGATATGGAAAGCACTCAAGCATTAATGGGTTTGGGAACACAAAGGTGACATCATTGGCTTTTTTTAGTCCTTCAGTGGCATCTGAAATATCTCCAAGGGAAAGCCAATAACGTAAAAAGCCTAATGTGTTGAAAGGGTGTATTTGTAACGGGTGGGTAGGGGAATGGCTGAGTTCTAGGATTAAATCCTCTTGTGTGATGAATGTGAAAATGACAGATGTGTTTGAAACTCCTGGTGAGAAAACCACCTCTCCCTGCTCAAAGGACACATAACTGGGCTTTACTTAGGGAACTAAGCCAGGTGGCATTGAATTCCCCTGCTCTGTGACAAGAGGGATGATTGTGGGTTACTGAGCCACCCTCCCCAGCATCTAATGCAGTCCTTAGCCATGGAAATAGCAATTCTGCCCTTCAGCACACCTGTTGGGGCTCCCAGGAGGTTGTGACCATGGCATGCAAATTGTAATGACCCTATTTATAGCTCTGTGTGGTTTAAAGTACAATAATACAATTGCAAATACACAGTATTGACCCTTTCTTTACCATGTGCTGCTAGTAGGGCACTTAGAATCACTGAATCATTAAGGTTGAAAAGGACCTCTGGGATCATGAAGTTCAACCATCTACCTGCCACCAATATTGCCCTCTAAACCACATCCCTCAGTGCCACATCAACAAGTGTCTTGAACACCCCTGCTTGGCATAGTCTCTCCCAAACAATCTACAGCCCTCTGCCCTTCTACTGCTCTCCCTTGACCTCCTAGAGGCACCTCTGTTCTGCATAGAGGCCTCTATAGGAACAAAGCATCAACTCATTCGGTCAGCTTTGGCACTCAGAGAACACAAAACAGACAACCTTCTTGATCTTAACTGCAATTCCATATGTCTCCGCTTGTACTCCTAATGGTTTAATAAATCTCTGCAAAGAAGGCAATGGGACAGGATGAGTTCTGGGTTCTGTGAGTGGCTAAGCACAAAGCAGCATGAATTGCCTGACACAGCAAGTTTATTTTTTTCTGCCAATTTCGAGTCTTGTGTGCTGTACACATTGTAGGTGATGGATGGTCTGTTTAATGTGAGATGCCTCTACTTGGTTGCAGATGTGATTTGATTTCGCTTTGAGAAATTTTCTGGCTGATTTGTGCATTCAGCCTTTTGGGAAGAGGCCTGAGAAGTTGGTCTCTGTAGAGGAAAAAGTATTGTCTTGCAGGAGCATTTCTGAACTACCATATGTGGGAACAAGGCAAGGCAGTGCTGGTAGAATCTAATATCCTTGCATTCCTTTGTTAGCAATATTTCAGTGTTAGCATTGTTTTAAAAGAGGAGATTGAAATTTTCTGTGAGTTTGATTTCTTGTTTTTTAAAGCTTGAAAATTAGTCTTCCCTCTGATTTTCTTTCTCATTTTCTCTTTGCTGAGAACTTAGCTTTGTCTTTGTTGTAAATTGAACATGAAATTGGTTCATTACTGGAATGTACATAATGTACTGGAATGTACATTAACTGGAATGGCTGTTGAAAGTGAAAATAAGTTGGAGATATCTTGTACCTTCAGGACTGTCTGATTGCGACAGGATTAAATGAGGTCGAATTTAGATTGCCTAAATTATCCAATGAAGATTTTGTAAATGTTTGAGAATGTGGTAGCTCTTAAACTTTTGAAAAGATCTCCAATAGACAACTAAAGATTACTTCTCTGATAATTGTACAGGGGAAATGCTTGGAGCTGATCCTCTGGGCTGGCAGCTGTGTGTCTTCATTAACTAGTAATGGTGGTGATTTTTTTGCAAAAGGCACCGACTGCGCTGTACCTCATTATTTCTTATTTCTGAAGCTGCCACGCCCCACAGTTATTGAACTTGGCAATGACAGTAAAAATACACTAAGAAAACAGCAAATAGCAACTAGGCTTATAGAAAATGTTCTGTGGGCATTTTAAGCACTGGCCTACGTGAAATATTTAGGCAATCAAAAAGCTATTCAGTTATTTGAGTCTGATATGCCACGTGTATGCCTCAGCAGGTATCATCCATTCCTCTGCACAGCACCCTCTTTCATTCCTCAGATGAAGACTCTTCCTCATGGATACATGCCTGTTCTTCAGTGCAGAACTCAAGTACCACTTGAGCAATTTGAAAAGAGCTTGGTAACCTGCAGCAGTCTCTTTGGCACTGCAAAGCTGTCTCCTGAGCAGATTGAATCAGTCTATTGGGAGCTTTAATATTATTTGCTCTTAATGAAAACTACCTTAACTGTCTTTTTGCTACACTCCATAGACTGTTCTTGCCCTGGTATCAAGTTGCCCTATACTCTGATTTTAAGGATACTACAGAATCAAAGAGTGGTAAGCTATCAGTTAAATAGCTTTATCTAAAGCAGAAGTTGTCTGAGTACTCCTTGAAGCTTTTCTTGATAAATTTAGGAGAATGGCATCATGTCCCATCCAATGCAAGTTAATTTTTTGCTAGTTTCTTTATTGAATTCTATGCTAAGCATTGGACAGGAAACTTCCAATAGAAATGTTTTCCTGAATGTTAGGGCTTTCAACTCGCCAAGCTTTAGTAGTTACCTTTTTGCTGATAGTTGAACAAAGTAATTACCTATCAAGTGGAGGCACTGACATTGGGTGTTGAGGTAACCATGATATGTAAGTATAAGTGCTTGAGAAATGCAAAAATTGAATCAAACACTGCAAGTTCAGCTGGAGGAGAACTTCCAGCTGAGGTTAATGAATGCTGAATTTGGTTCTCTGTTGCTCTCATGGGATGTTTATTCAAGTAAAGATGTTTATCTTGTCCTTACTTGAATCTAAAATACAGATCAGGAAAAATGGTGGTGGCCAATTTGGAGTATTGCGATCAACAGTTATGTGTTCTCTTGCAAATATCTTCAGAGAGTGCTGCCAAGATTGGAAGAAATAGTACAGTCTATATGAAGAGGTAAATGGGGACTGGGGGGGCTAGGGGGCTAGAACTAGGGCTCATCTCTCTGATAGACAAGCTTAGTGCAGTGCACAGTTTGTAAAACTGGGATCTGTTTCAGTCCCACACGTGGAATTCAGGCATCCTAATTAACCCTCCACCAGTGGAGCTTGTCACAAATAACTCAGTTGGTACTCCTGCATATAGGATGGTTTTGTCTCTTTTGCTTAAGAAATGGGTATAACCTTTCTTTCGTTTAGAATGACAAACCCAAATAGCTGTTGGTTAGCAAGTGAGATTCGTGTGCACTAACTGGGAAATAATTTTGGATCCACTGCAACTTAATGACAAACTCCAGCACAAGAAACATAATCATGACAATTTATACCACAAATGAAGAAAACAAGATAAAATACCTTTGTGTTTTGAAGACATGTTTCTTGTCCTTCCTTTGTTACAAGCCCTCAGAAAGGATCGTGCTGGATTTCTGTAAGTAATGGGTTGTGTCCTGCTTTGAGTTCACTTTCTAATGATCTTTCCGAGCTGCAAAATGAAAAGGAACAGGAGGCACATGAAGATGTGGAAACAAAACAAAAAAAAAAAGATGCAACCAGTAATGTATTTTCCTGCAGAACCTGGGGCTGCTACATTTGACCTACGTGTCCTTTTTCCATAGGAGGAATTGGGTGCCTTGGCCGCGACAGGGGGCAGACACGGAAATGTCTTGATGCAGTGGAGATTTATAACCCTGATGGAGACTTCTGGAGGGACGGACCTCCTATGCCTTCCCCGCTCCTCTCCTTGCGAACAAACTCTACCTGTGCAGGCTGCGTGGAAGGCAAGCTGTACCTCTGCGGAGGATTTCACGGAGCAGGTACTCAAATGAGTCTGAGATTCTTTGCCCAGTTGAAATAACTTTCCCTGTACGCAAGCTGACCTGACTGAATAACCCTGTCGGTGGCACTGGCATGCCCTGGAGCCACAGAGCTGAATGAGTCCTTTGGACTGCTGACTCCTAATGTCAATATGCATTGTGTTCTGTTCATCCTCTCATGCTTTTTCCTTATCAAAGCACGAAAAATTAGGGATGTTTCTGATCAGCACTGAATCTTTTCAAAACTGTTAACTCAGCAGAATTCTTCTGGATTTACATTCAGAGCCATTAAGATCAGAATCTCAGTGTATGTTACGGACGTGAAAGAACTTGAGCGTATCTGTTGGAGACTAAGGCATTATTGATCTGTGGTAGCTGGCTCTATTTACTGACATGCTTCTCATTTTCAATGCTGGAAAACCTTGTGCATTTAATCAGTAACCCAGGTTGGGAGCTGAGGTACTAAAATCCCTGATCTGGTGATTTCTAATCCCAGCGTCACGACCACCTTTCTCCCTTCATTTTCCTACTGCCTAAATCCCCAGTATTGTTAAGCATTATATTCTAATTATAAATGCAGAGAGCCTCTCAACACATGCACTTACTCTCCTGCTATGGAGCAGCTGCTACCCCTATTTCCTTTCTGGGTGATGGCAGAAAATGCAGATAATGCAGAAATGCATTATGCACTACTAATACACGTCATGTCAGGCTCACTGCTGCCCAGGAATGTTCACGTGGTGTCCCTGGGAGATGTATCCTCCACATGATACTGACTACGGCTGTGTTGGTTTTTAGTTGCATTACAAACTCTGTGGTTGCTCTGTTTTAAAGTGATTGCCACGTCTTAGTTCACAGCTCACCTCCCCTCTGTTTGCTGCTGCTTGAAGAGGCTGCTTCCCGAAAACAGTTGTACAGCAGGCAGCTCACTAACAGGCCTGCATTTATGCCATCTCTGATGGAAATTGTGCAACCTCAGAACTATTATGTTTATGATGCATCATAGCATCAGAATGTTTGCATTTCCATAGCAAACACAGTGTCATCATATCTGTCTTTTTCCTCAGCAGTGTAAGGAAAAAGCCTATTCAGTCAGTGGGTTTACATCTCAAAAGGCTGATCATTTTCACTGGAAAATGAAGCAATTTCATTCAAGATGACTAACAGCTTAGTATGAAGTTTTCTGAATACGATAGCTTCAGAGCCATAAAAGTGCTCTTTACAGTACCACCATGTTCTGTCTCTGAGTCTCATGTTAAGAATGGTAGATGGGAGAGGTGGGAAGTTCCCATGTGGGTTTCAAGCTGGCCGTCTTCTGTATGTACATACAATGCCTGCTCTATGGGTCCTGACTCCTGGCTGTGTCATTGCAGTCTATATTATGATTGTGCATTGAGCTCCACTGCCCTAAAAGTACTGTTTAGATTAGAAAGCAATAAGTTGGAGTTAGAAAATGTCAATTTTGCTGTTACCTGTGCAACCTGACCCCGCTATGCATGCATTTTGTATGCCAGTGCAGAAAGAGTGATTGTGGTGTTAGACGTTGTGATGTCTTTTAAAAGGGAGCCAAAATAAGATTCTTACTGTCAGCTGTAAATCTGGTATATCCAAATGCCTGAGGAGTTGAGAGGAAGCTGTGCCTTAAAGATAGGCTTCTTAATGTGACCCTCAATTTATTAAAGGAAAAGGGTTGTTTAAATCTTCATAACAATAGCTTCTAGTTACTACCATCAAGGAATAGATGTCTGGAGTTCATGTGCTGAACCTGAAGGTTATCTAGCTGGCTTCTTTCCCTGTCCCTGTCTCTCTGCATGCTGGAAGGTGTATTGTTCTTTAGGGGTGAAGGCTGGAGCGAGGGACAGAGAGTTATTACTGTCATGTGGGAACTTGGAGAGTGGCTTGACTTTTTCACAATTACAGCTGCTCAACAGATTCAGGATATTCCCAGAACAGCATGTGCTGCTGCTTTGGTAGCAGATAGGGTTATTTTAGAATGTGCTTGTTTGGTTTTAGTCTTTTGGGTTTCTTGGCGTGCAACTTCAGTTTTTGTGAGGGATGCAACCAAGAGAGGATACTCCAATTTTACCAAACATTGTAATTTAGTTTCAACCAAGTGGAGTTTTTGGAACAAGCTGGAGGCACAGCTGTAGGCTCTGTTTGCTGCCTGCTGAACTCTAAAAGGCTGCTGTGAACACTTGAGTACAAGTGCTTCTCAAAAAAAAGCAAACAAGCCCAAGATATTGCTGTGCTGGAAAGTCTTTGCCAGCGTATATAAGCAGCTGTGTATAGGGACCCTCTATGTACTGGATATCTGTCTCCAACTCCCTCAGTTTCCCTTTGCGTTCATTGAACCTCGCTCTTAATCCAACAATGTAAAAGATGCTCTAATAAGGATGTTATTCATCTTAATTTTACTTGTGTGGGCACCATGCTCTGCATGCCTTCCTGTATGACCATAGACCTGAATGGTTAATTAGAGGCCAGAGATGCTATACTCAAACACAACACTGAGAAATAGCTGCCAAGTGCCCAAAGGATCTTAATTTTGGATGAAAAGACAAGATGTTGCCCTTTTGAGATTGCCCTGTATGACACTCCTTGAAGCTTTGTGATGGCAGGAATTGCATCCCACTTGTATTGCCTACCAAATCTTTGCTTGGAGGAGAAGTGGACTAGCAGTAACAGCATCCCCAGGAGCAGAGGAAGAGAAAGCAGAAATTTAGACTTAGCTGGGGTGCCTACATGAAGACCTTAGCGACCCCAGGCTCCATGCAGCCTATGGAGAAGCACAGACACTTCCAGAGGGACATTCATCTCCTTGCTGCTTTAAGTCTGCTCTAAAAGACAAGAAGGCAATTCAGAACCCTGAGAGCCTCTTGTCTCTTAGTGCTTCATGTTTCTATCAGCATATGAGCACTCAGAGTTGGCTTACCTAAGGCAAATCTGTTGGGATCCTGGCGTCTATGGTTAGATAGAACAAACCACTCTGAGACTTGTGTTGGAAACACCTAGAATCGTTAAGGTTGAAAAAGACCTCTAAGATCATCCATTTCAACTGTCCACCTACCACCAATATTGCTCATTGACCACATCCCTCAGTGCTACATTTCCATGGTTCTTGATCACCCCCGGGATGGTGACCCCACACTCCCTGGGCAGTCCATCCCTATGCCTGACAACTCTTTTGGATAGTAAGTTTTCCTAGCATCCAACTTTTGCTTGTTTTGAATTCAAATTCCAGTTTCCTGCTTTAGCATGGCTTGCCATACATTGTCCATTAGCCCATTGTTTATATAAATTAGATCATTTTCTACTAAAACCACTATGACAAATAAGAACCAACACTCTGCACATCTCTGGTGCTCAGCTCCAGCTCACGTAACTGAGTGGCATGAGTGTGTTTGCCTGCCTTTTGTTAGCAATGTTGTAGCACTCAGCAGGAGATTCAGAAATGTTTAAAATCATTGGGTTTATCCACTGGTTTGTAGTTCTGCAGAGTGAAAATGACAGTCGCAGTATGAATATTCAGAAGGACCCAGTGTGCAGCAGCCAGCCAGCTTGCCACTAATTGCTAAAATATGTTGCTGCATTTACTGCTGTAACTATGGATTTTAAAGCAGCCTTCGCAGACTGAGCATGGTGTTCTTGTTCATGCATCTTATTTCCTTTGCCTTTACATAGCTCTAAAACCTGACACCTGCACAGGTTGGCAGCTATTAATGTGAAGCTGGGCATGGCAGAAGCAGACTCATTAGTGCTCCTTGCTGGAGGAGGGGTGAGCAGCTCTGCAGGTACGCAGCAAGCACTACACACAGATAAATGCCTGCCACATTGTATTCTCTTCCCCTTTGACTGCTTCTAAATATTACAATTTTATTTTATTTTTTATTTTTTTTTTTTTTTCCAGTGAAAAGAATGAAGGCAAGTATGTGTTTGCTGTGACTGCTATCAGCTCATGGAGGCACATACTCGATGTCATGCTGTAGCCTCAAAGAGATCTCACAGCATGTTTCTGGGGGCTGGGGCAGGGGGAATAATCAGCGGGGCTCTGTTTTCTTGATCATAGCTTTAGTCTATAGGTGTTAGTCCAACTGTCTGCCTCAGATTTGAACTAAATTCTATCATATTTAAACTTCATTGTAATTACTGTGCTCCCATGTGGCATCAGCTGGTGTGCAAAGCGAAGGGACAGCCACCTCAATTCAAATAAGATGCTTTACAGGTCTGCTGGTAGTGGCTCATGCCACTTAAAACGCCTTGTGATTTTATCAGCTATTGCATTTGATGTGGAACTGCCTTTCTCTGAACTGGCTGTTCTGCCATCTTTCTTCAACACTGTTCATAGAGAAGATAACGTTTGCTGCTTCCCTACTCTATATGTTAAAATTCTGTGTGGGGCCAGAGCAGCTCAGCTCAGATCTGCTATTTACTTATCACTGCTATCAAACAGTAATTCATTTTTTCACTCCAGGGGTATTACTGGTGGCGGGAGGAAAAGGGGAAGAGATGCCTTTGGACTTGGAGCACAAGAATCTCAATTTTGTCTGCAGCTGTTAGATAGGTGATATGGTAACAGTCTGCTAGCTGTGTAACTCTGATTCTACCAAAAAAAAAAAAAAAAGTATGCTTACCCCAGGTGTGCTTTCTGGCCTCTTCTTCCCTATTTACATAAATTGCAATCCATGTGCTGGAATAGCAGCAGCACTGCTTGCGGCAGCGCAGAGCCGGGTCATAATTACTGTATTCCAGCTGAGCTAATGAGTTTGCATCTCCATGCCACCCTCTCCTGACAGTGGACTAGCTTAATAGTTATTTATTTTGACTAATCTCCCATAAAGGCTGTTCCCCTCAGCCTCATCCATTATGTGATTTAGATGGAGAATCGTTGTAATGCCTGTTTTTTTTTTTTATTATAGTGGTTATGTACATTACTGGAATCAAATTAAATCTAGACATTAAGAAGTCTGGCACAGTAAATACTAGACTTGTGAAGTTTGGGGGATGAAAGATTGGAAGGAAAGCTGTTTCTCCAGCACCTTCGCATGTTCCCAGCTAAATAAAGCAGAGGGGCAAACCCTG